GTGTATATATATATATATATATATATATATATATATATATATATGTACTACTTACGAAGCTGACTTGCTCCTGGACTTAATACCTAAGTACACGGGGCTTTACAGTGAGCGGGGCTCTGAGGTTTTCTGACCCAATCCTCTCTTTGCCCCGACCCCGCGGAAGTTTCAAAAGTCAGCCCTATGGAGATGACGATCACTGCCTGGGAGGGGTCGGTGGCTGTTTGATTGTGGGGGAGGGGATGTAGCGGCGGGAGTGATCACAAGGATGCTCGGTTGTGGACCAGGTCATAGACGTTACATCACTAGTATGTAAATTAGAAAGATAACGAAAATCCATGTCATAACAATAGTCATCTCACGATCGGCGTTTCGGAATAACTTCGTACTTTTGCCATCAGGCATCGTAAAGTAACAGATCGTCAAGTGACAAAGGGAATGGATTTGCCTACGCCGCAAGGAGCGCGGAGCCGGCTTTCTCATCCGACAGCAGCTTCTTCAACGCCTTGACGGTAATCTCTAAAACCTCCTGGCTCCGTGATTTCTTCAGACACTCCTTCAATGCATCAACGCCTCCAGCTTCCTTAACCTTCTTGACTCCCCACTCGCCAACCTTCCCAGGCGCCGTCATGATGTTCAGAACGCACACCACACCCCGATGCCGCAGCTCCTCCTGATCCTCTTTGCACAGCCCAAGCAGGAGCGGCACGCCCCTATCCCTCTCCAAGATGACATTGACGGCAGTGTCCCACTCGGTAAGACTGGCAATCGCACCACCAGCCGCTCTCCTCGTCTCGAAATCCTCGGCGTCAGTCAAGGCGAGTAGGATGTGCATGCGTTGACTAGCCTGCTTTCCTCCATCTGCGAATTTGGCAACCCCTTCTGGAGCTTGCATCAAGTTACACATTAGCTCGACTGTTGCGCGGGTTACCATTTTATTGTTTGAGAGCAGAAGCTCCTCGATCTGTGGGAATGCGATGCGGACTATAGGGTTCCGGGCTGTGTCGTCGGTTGAGGCGAGATTGGTGAGCGCGAGGAGGGATTCGAAGACGGGGAGAAGATCTCGGTGTTCGACTGAGGGGTCGTCGCCGAGTATAAGCAGGAGTGGTCGGACGGCGGATGTCACTGATAATGGGTTGGAGCCCCCGAAGACGTGCTGAGGGTTCGTGGATATGAGAATGCGGGCCAGTGCGTGGGCTGTGGTGCGGCGTGCTGGGATGTTGTCGGCTGGGAAGACTGAGTATGCGTGTAGGAGAAGCTTCACGGCTCCTTGCTGTGCCATCTGCCCTCTGATCTTAGTGTTTTTGGAGAGCGAGTTGACTATCGAGACGACGAGCATCAAGGATGCAGCCGATCCATGCTGGCTGTGAGTGACTAGAACTGGAATAACCCCAGCGTCAAACACAGCTTTACAGCGTTTTGAAACGTGATCGTCGTCGTTAATAGGATCTTCTGACGTTGTCGATTTTGTGGCGTTGGCGTATGCTTTGAGCTGGCTCATCCGTTTCTGTTCATCCGAAAGCGCTGGCAGATAAGTTGTCAGATTGACCAGGATAGTGAGAGCTCCATAGGTTGCAGGTGACTTGGCAGGTGCTTCTCCCAATGCCTTGACCAAAGTCTTCAGGAAAGGTTGATCCGAAGCCAGACTTTCCTTAACTTTTGGTTGCAAGGAGGCATAAGCCAAGCCTTCTATTGAGCTGTTCTGCGAGCTAGTTGTGGATAGCATAGTCTTGAACATGTCTGAGAGTTCTTCGATACTGGTGGTCGCTGGCTGTATACGCTCCTCTTCTCCAGCACTCGGGGCCGATGGAACAGCCTTCAATCCTGAAGTTAGTTAGAATACGGGTTTGGAGTTCGCGAAGATTTGTATCAATAAATTAGCAAAACTAATTGCGATGGAAATGCTTACCTGCAGCTTAGCCAGGACAACCGCTGCTAAATTTCTGACTTCTTCGGAATGCATTCTTTGCTGAATGGAGCCGTCTTCTACAAATTTTTTTCTTTCTGGTGAAGACACGTCGACGGGAGCAGAAGGAGAACTGTTGACGATCTCGTCCAGCCACTCGGAACAGTACTTCTTGATCGCCTCCCGAGAGGGCGTGTTCATACAGGCAGCGTTCAACATCTCTAAAGCAGCTTGCTCCACTTTCCTGCTCCTCCATTTTCTCATCATGAGAGGCCCAAGAGAAACGACAAACCCCTCACCCAAGAACAGGTCTGCGATGACATCTGGAACGATAGGAAATAGACAAGCGGCCACGGAGAAGGCAGTGATGAGGTCATCATAAGTGCCTTTGCTGACTTTTGTAGTGAAGAAACTCGACAGTGTCTTGATGCCTGTTTCGCCAGCAGCTTTCAGGTATGCTGAGGTAGTCAGAGTTGCGTGGCCCCGGACAGTTGGTGGATGCCTCATGTCCAAGTGACCCAAGATGGTGTCAATGCACTCTTCATCACACAACTTGTAAAGTGACTTGTGTGGCTCAGAAGATCTAGCAGCATCCGAGGAGTCCTCAGTGAGCAGTCTGGTAAGAGTATTCAGGTCTTTGCAAGTGTCCTCGTCCTCCCGGCCTCCCTCCATCAACCGAGCCAGAAGTAGCAGCGTCTGATCCTCCAGGGAGACATTGGTGCTTTTGACAGCATCTGCAGGTGGTGGAACACTGGGATCCATGTTGATTGCTTGAAGTTTGCCCGGTGGAGGAATGGAGTGTAGATGGCTTATCACGCTGTGGTGAAGGGCGGTTTGAGAGTTTATATAAGATCGGGTCACGAGACTAGGCGTCAAAATCGACAAGGATTAAGAACCTCACCTCGCGAAGGAGTCTGGACGAAAGGATGAAAGAACGACCTGGGACATGCTGAGTACTATGAACAAGAGATAAATCCAAGTCTACTGCCTAATTTCATCCAGCTAGACTGGCCATAGTCCATCGATAGCGAACTCGTGTTCTTTCGGGCACTAAAATTCAATATCGACATTTTACTTGTCCGATTTCACCGAATTCTCAACATTCTCCATCAGCTCCTCCAGTCCAGGAAGCTGATGTGCTTCTTGCTCCTCCAATATGAACGCGGTAGATGGATCAGAACATTATGAAGTCAAGGTCGGAGGTCAGCAAGCATATATAACCCCTGATACCTTTGTCTATCTATCTAATCTAACACTCATTGTAGCCGTCACGCCCGCCTTGCTCGTCGTCGTCATCGATACAAATCCGCATGCCTGGGCCCTCCTCTCACCCACCCTCCCGCTCTCCAAAGCAATAGCCAACATCCTCGTGTTCATAAATGCCCACCTGGCAGTCAATAATGCGAACCAAGTCGCTATCGTCGCGTCCCACTGCCACCGAGCCGCGTGGCTCTACCCGCACCCGGCCTCGACGTCGTCCTCTGAGGACGTTGAGATGAGCGACGATGCCGCCTCTTCGAACATCGACAACCCAAACAAATACAGACCCTTCGCCCTCGTCGAAGATATCCTGCTCAATTCGCTCCGCGAACTCATAGCTACGACGACGGAAAGCGATGTCGCGACAACCACCTCCACCCAGATGGCTGGAGCTCTGACGCTGGCCCTCTCCTATATCCACAAAGCGACGCAGCAGTTCTCCGGCATTGACACGGAATCTAAGCCTGCTACCGCCCCCAGTACCGAGAATGCCGACACCATACTTGGCCTGCAGAGTCGTATCCTCGTCGTCTCCGTCTCCGGAGACCTTGCCCACCAGTACATTCCCATAATGAACACCACGTTCGCAGCCCAGCGCCTGCGTATCCCCATTGATATCCTGAAGCTGGCCGGCGACACGGTTTTCCTCCAGCAGGCGTCCGACGCTACAAAGGGCGTCTACATGCAGTTGCGAAATCCACAAGGTTTGCTCCAGTACCTGATGATGGCATTCCTGCCCGACCAGGTGGCTCGCAAACACCTCGTTCCTCCAACGCAAGAGGTAGTAGACTTCCGAGCCGCCTGTTTCTGCCATCGGAAGGTGGTGGATATAGGCTATGTGTGCAGCATCTGCCTGAGCAGTAAGTGCCTCTCTTCCATCACCTGTTCCTCATTGACAACCTTGAAAGTCTTCTGCGTGCCGCCTGAAGGGGCGGTCTGCTTGACGTGCTCTGCGCCACTCAAGTTAGGTAATTATGGTGCAAATCCAGCCGTCATTCCGAGGAAGAAGAAGAAGAAAAAGAGGTTGAATGAAGGCGTAGAGACGGGGAGTGCGAGAGGGACACCAACACCGGGAGAGTAGATAGACTCATTCTGGGTATTACCAGTGTAGCAAAAATTCTTATACTTACCGAACCAAGGCTGTCAGTATCACACCCTACATATGTTTGATTCGGCCGCGAAAGTCATCATCGGTCCGTGGCACCGATTCACCCTTTGAATTAAATGTCACGCTATGAAGATATACGAGACCGGAGATTATCGGAATGTAATGGATACTTAGGTCTTGATTGAGCGCGCAGAGCAACCACGAGAATGCGTCCCCATTGAAAAAAAGACAATCTTCTAGGTGATATCTGTAGGACATCTGCCTCTGACTCCTGAATCGCCGCCCTGGCCATGACGGCACCGTATGATGTATCCATTCCCGCAGAGTGCTCGCGATGCCATTCTTTGTAGCAAATACCTCAGCCGTCAGTCATTACTTCGTGAATAGGAAGCCGGTTGCACTCTACCAAACGCCGCGCTAACATAGGAGGTGATATTCTACCAACAGCCCCAAAGACGAGGACTTAAGTGAAAGGACTCACTCATCAGTCGACTCGAATCTTTCTTCCTCCTTGTACAACGCTTCCGTGATCACCGAGTCTCGACATGACACATTTGGCTTCTCTTTCCCTCGAGTGCATGGAAGCCAAGGCGAAAGAGTCCGTGTTATGTGCAAAGTGTAGGAAGTATCCGCCTGGAGTCTTCTTGACAGCCATCACACCAATGGCGCCTGATGAGTTGCTTCCAGCGACACCTGGGTGGCTCATGAAGTCGGCTTGTACAAACGAAATCATAGCCTCTTCCTCAGTAGCCTCAATGTCTGCACCGCCCTCAGCGCGTCTAGTGTTGTGATAGAGTCTTTCTGCACACTTCTGAGATGCCATGGTAGTTGCCATGTGTTCACCGGTTCCGCTCGTCACGGCTGCTACAGCAACTTCTTCCTCGTCTCTATCATCAGCAGGGATAACAGCGCTGCCGATACCGACAAGAGCAGCGGGGCCCACCCGGCCACGGTGCTTCATGCCAATACCGCCAGACGACGAGCCTGCGGCAATGTGTCCAAACATATCGATGGCAATGGCACCGACAGTATCTGTGATGGAATCTTCATCTGCTCTCTTGAACGGTTTTGATGGAGATTCTGCGGTGCCCTCTTCGAAAAAGGCTCGAGATGGGGTAAAATCAGTCTCGGTATCACTAGTCGGAGATTGATAGCCATCACTGCTTCCGTTAGGGTTGTTAGAGGGTTCCTTTAGGAGGAACTCGCTTCTAGTAAGAGTGACGTCTGGGGGGCTCTTGTGTAATTCGCCATTTGGACCGAGCAACGAGTGGGTGCGTCGCTCTTCACCATAACGCGGACGCTTTGCAGGTTGCCCAGTGGGAGACTTGCCACGAGCACGAGTGTTGGATAAGGGGAATGCCGAAGGGCTTGGGGAGCGGAGGGCAGGACATGGATCCTGGGAGCAAAGCTCTCGGCTTGCAGTGAGAGCTGGGGTGACCTGAGGAGAACTTGAGGGTGAGTCTGGTTGACCCTCATTCCATGTGCCATTCAAGATCGCTAGAGTGTGGTCTCGTCGTTGCTTTGCCCGAATACGCTCTTCGTACTCAAAGTCTAGCTTCTCTTCCTCGGCTTGACTACTGTTCGCGCTTGAACCAGGGGTCCCACGTCCACCACTCTCGACACGTCTCAGATCTTCACGCCATCTTACATAGCGGTCTCTGGCATTTCGAGAAACCAGCATCTCATGTGGAACAACAGGAATTCCATGTTCCCAAGCAAAGTCGGTAGCGCCTTGACCGACCAAAAGATTAGGTGGGACTCTCCGGAGAGATAGCGGCCTGCTGGAGGCGTCAAGAATCGATCGGGCCAAGTGGATCGGATTTTTTATTTCTGTGATACTCGTTGAGATTTGGGTCCGGAGATTTTACATGGGCAAACTACTTACGAGCTGTAGCTCCACAAGCACCACTTCGACCCAGATAGTCAACAATGGTAGCATCACACTCGACCACTCCGTCGATTGCCAAATTGCTGCCATAGCCAGCGTTTGTTATTTCTTTATCTTCAAGGACCTTGATAGCAGCTTCGACAGCATCAACGGCAGTCCCGCCAGCATTCAGCACACGCATGGCCATCCGAGCCGCACTGCAGAAAATTCAGTTGATTGTTCAAGATGTGACTCACCGAGGCTTTCTGAGTGGCCCATACCTGTCGCATGCGCCGAGATGTATGTGCTCGTTCGTGGTACTATGGTAGCCTGCTCCCGCGTGGACGAATATCGCTGCAACATTAGCTTGAGGGTTTGACGATTGGCCTCTTCTGAACAGTCTCTCGGCCGCTCCATCAGTTTCTGGAGCCAGGTTCATTGTGTCTAAAAGCGGAATTTTGGAGGATCCGAGAGTTTGAATTATTTCTAGTCCTTTCTGGAAACCTAGCTTGGTCGCAGATCGAGAACGAGCAATACCAATGTATTGGTCTTGAGGCCTGGAGGAGAACGACTGCCTCAGGCTATCTTTGATCCTTCGAAGTTGGGCTCGCGCAGCTTCCAAGGTTGTAGAGGATTGCGAGTGTTGATGTCGTGAGTCGAAGTGTGGCATGGAAATTGTAGATCAAGTAGAGGGAGGATATGTGCGGCGGAGATGAACTAGGATGCAATCGAAGGAAGTAGGTTACTATCCTCGTGCATTTGGGGTGACTGAGCTTGGCCTCGTTCGAGAAGTAGAATGTGGTGGAGAGGCGCTGTGTTGATATGAAGGGACGAAGATACACCCTTTTTTGGGGTAGTTCGGAATGGGTGTTGAAGGAATTCTAGGAATAATTTTGGAGATGTTCAGTCTCCGAGGCGCAGAGGTCGTTGATGTTTTCCACAATAAGGAAGCCGAGAGGACTTGCAGAAGGCGATGATCAATTTGGAGAAATCTAGAGAACTTTACTACTATCAGCATGAGCAATTCATCCAGTGAGTTCTGAGCTCAACGTACCGAAGGGCGATACTTCTCATATCAAGTGAAGAGTAGGACAGCTAGGATTTATGAGCCTCGCTCCTGGGCGAGCTCAGATACAACCAGAATTTGAGGTGCGTGAAAACGATGGGACAGGATCCAGCAGACTTTTGCAGACACTCAGGATCCCCAAAGCCAATATAACAAATGACTTCTTGTGAGTAAGTAGAGACTGTATAGAAGGAAGGATATGGGGTGGTGATGTTGAGAATTGGAATGGATGGCTGTCGAGGAAGAACATGGGTCGAAGGAAAGAAGCCCGCCAATGCTAGTCTACCAAGTCTACGAGGTAGTCGCGACGCATCTTTTTAGACTACCTTGCCTATTATTACCCTCTGCCGAACAAGGAAGGAAGCACAACCCTTGGAGTGAAAGTCGACCAGATATTGTCACGTGGCTGGACTCAATCCCTACCACTCCACTCCACTCCACTCCACTCCACTCCACTCCAAAGAATGTCGGAGCGAGCGGCGGGGTCCCTCCGTAGAGCGATCCATCCTTAGCCAACCCGCTGCCACCGTCATCACACTACCTACACTACACACTGCACACCACGCGGTTCTCGAAGCTTTATTTGCATGACAGGACAGAAACACAATTAACTGACTGTACAACCTCGGAATCAACGGCCTGAGCTTCATCTTAGAGCTGTCGCTTAATATCTCCGAAGAGCTCCAGGTGTGCCGCGCAGCCTTCACTTCAGGATGGCTTCCCACACTCCGGCCGTTGTCATGGACAAGTAGGTGGCTCCCTACCCAGAAAGCTGCACTTCCTCAGAGGATGATGCGTGGATCTTGCTTGGCCCTCCGTTGAAGCTGACATGGTATTTCCAGCGGTACCGGTTTCTCTAAGCTTGGTAAGTGCTCTGCGGCAGCATTGGCCTCTTTCGCAAGCTGACAAGCACCCAGGCTTCGCAGGCAACGATTCTCCCTCCTTCGTTTTCCCGACTGCGATTGCAACGAAAGGCCCGGCCGGTAGTGCAGGTGGAGGCTCTGGATCCGGGCGGCCGGCCGTGGCCAACAAGCCTTCGTATCTGACCGGAGGAGCTGGACAAGGTGGCCATCTGAATATGAAGCGTGGTACCGAGGACTTGGACTTCTTTATTGGTGATGAAGCGCTTACTGCAGCCAATGGCCCCGGTATGTTCAAGCATCATTCTTGCATGGAACTTGCTGAGTAGGTCAGGCTACAATATCAACTATCCCATCCGTCATGGTCAAGTTGAGAATTGGGTAAAGAAATATGTCTGCCCCATATCAATATACATGGAGTAACATTCGTAGGATCATATGGAGAGGTTCTGGTCAAACTCCATATTTAAGTACCTTCGAGTAGAACCGGAAGATCATTACTTCCTACTGACAGAGCCCGTAAGTCCTGCCCCATCCGGGGATTAGGACGTCTATTGACACCAGCATCAGCCTCTCAACCCCCCCGAGAACCGCGAGAACACCGCCGAAATCATGTTCGAGTCTTTTAACTGTGCTGGACTCTACATTGCGGTGCAAGCAGTGCTAGCTCTGGCAGCTTCTTGGACATCATCGAAGGTGTCCGATCGGTCTCTGACAGGAACAGTTATTGACTCTGGAGATGGTGTCACTCACGTTATTCCAGTTGCTGAAGGCTACGTTATTGGATCTTCTATTAAGTCCATTCCAATCGCCGGACGAGACATTACCTACTTTGTCCAGTCCCTACTCCGCGACAGAGGCGAGCCCGACTCGTCTTTGAAGACCGCTGGTGAGATCAAGGAGGAGTACTGTTACGTCTGCCCAGATATCGTCAAGGAATTCTCCCGTTTTGACCGTGATCCTACACGTTTTGCAAAGCATCAAGTCACACAGCCAGGTGGTCGCAAAGTCACAGTCGATGTTGGCTACGAGCGATTCCTCGCCCCAGAAATCTTCTTCAACCCTGAAATCTACTCCTCCGACTTTTTGACTCCTCTCCCAACCGTAGTTGATGGTGTCATCCAATCGTCTCCTATCGATGTGCGCCGAGGTCTATACAAGAACATTGTTCTTTCTGGGGGAAGTACTTTGTACAAGGACTTCGGCCGCAGATTACAGCGTGACATCAAGCACCTCGTCGATGACAGAATCAGAGCAAGTGAGGCCAAAAGTGGTGGTGCACGAAGTGGTGGTTTGGAAGTGCAGGTCATCTCGCACAAGCGACAACGGCATGGTCCGTGGTTTGGTGGAAGTTTGCTCGGCCAAACCCCCGAATTCCGAAGCTACTGTCACACAAAAGCTGGTAAGTACTCCTGGCTTGATTGGATAGGATTTTGCTGATACGATTTTTCAGAGTACGAGGAGATTGGTCCATCGATTGTTCGGCGATTTGCATTGTTGGGTGGTCCAGGTGGATCATAATGAGTGGAATGAGTAATTGGTGGAGTTTGTGGGATGCAGAGAGAGTCGACCCGAGAACGAAAATGATAGATTTGAGAGCAAAAAGTCATGAATATAAAAACGTTCCATCCACCGCAAACGTCCAAATCGAAACAGTGGCGCCATAAAACCGTGATAGTCTCTCCCTACATCCAGGACCAGGCCATACTGGCCAATTTTGCAAAAGAAGAAGCTTCCATTGGAAACCCCGGGAATTGAGCCCGAGGTGGGGCTCGAACCCACGACCTTGAGGTGATCTATATATGTGTTATAAGAGCCACACGCTCTACCGATTGAGCTACCCGGGCAGGGTGCTTGATGGATGGCATGGGAGTTGTTAGGGTACTTGTTCCAAGCAAAAATTTTCGGTGGGGGAGTTAAGGATTTTCTTCGGCTACGCCCTTGGTGGGGACTCGCTACTACAAGGGTTGCATGCTGACACCCGATACTAATATGTGACTTGCTTGACAATGACTGAAAGGGAGGATTGTAAGTCATCAGATATAAGAAGAATCTTCTCTCAGGAGGCCGGTGATGTGCTGCCATTCTTTTTTTCTTTTTTTTTTTCAAGCGAGGTAAAAGTTCAGCCGAATCTCCTACCTAACCCCAGGTTATTTACCCCTTCTCCCCCGCCTCTACGTACAGATATTTCAGAACATTTTTTTTTTTTTAAAATGGATCATCCCGGTGCTCGAAAGCTGTGAATACGGATAGCGATCAAAAAAAAAAAAATCAGCTTCATGCTAGATCCACTTCTACGGGGCTTTCTTTCTACATCTTGTTTGTCCACGCTCAGAGCGCGCGAGGAGAATAAAGCGTCCGCATGCTGGTATATATATATATGACCCTCAGATAACGGCAACGACGGGGGCTGTGATGGAGAACAACAACGGCGACCTTAACTGACGAGGCACTGTTGTAATTAAGGTAAGATTAGGTAGTCAGAAGCTGGCTGCTTGTCAGTTAGTGACACGGCTTTTGTTTTCAAGAGAATTTTCAGACTTTGCAACTGCATCTTACAACGTGGAATTTCGATTTCGGGGACGGGTTTAGGTTACAAACGACGTTCTTGCCTTTTCGGCGCTGGGCTTCGGATAGCAACAACCTCGAGCCTGGATATGCTGGCCTGGACATTATATACCAAATAGATATTGAGAGACTTGTATTATTACACTATAGAGACACATGGCTATCGCATGGCATCTAACCTACCCGTTTCACAGCATTGAGCGATTGATTTGCTGGCTGCAATGCAAATCTGTAGTGCAGCATATCGGGTTTTCTAATTTCGAGATACTCGTGAGGGAGATAAAGCTTCGAGCGATTGGTTGTTTGAAACTTTGGGAACATCTTCTGGTAGTACCTATTTTGATCAGCATCGAGAGGATACTAAAGTGTAGTAGAGCAGCCATATGCCGATTGATTGATGTAGAGTGCGATCTAGGGTCGGCCTGCATTCGGTTTGGGTCATCATGGCACGGATAGCCATAGCTACGAGCATGAGCTGAAGCTGAAGAGAGTATGTGCGTGGGTGGTAGAATCAGTCATTCACTACTTGCCTTTGTGTTGCTGCCTAGTCTGATCAGAATTCTCTTAGGGAGACGAGGCGAAATATACGAAGCCGAACTCGTGAATCTCCCTCTTATAAACAAGAACGCCGAACAACAACACCATATCTTCGAAGATCGAACCTCCGAGCTCTCGTTCTTCACAACTTCAGATAACCTCTGAGAGAGACTCGTATCGTACCTGGTAAGCGGAGCTCTGCTACCGAGTGCAGTTAATTCGGTACTGACAGCACTATACAGAACAATAGACGACCTACGGCAACATGCAACTCTACCAAAGTGAGAATTTATTCTTGTTAACACTCAATACCTTTACTGACCCCGGCAGTGCTCACCGAAAAATGGCGCGCCATCATGACCATGATAGAGATGACCCTCCTCCTGTTCCAACTCTTTGGCTTCTACCTGTAGTAGGTCTTCCCTTGTTAATACCCCCTCTCTTCGATTGTTTGCAAGGTAGATCTGTCGAGGCTCGACAATTTCTTTTTTCAAGAATCGATCTCTCCTAGAGCATGTACCGAAGCAGTTTTGGTAAATTGGAGGCCTTAACGATGACAGAATACTGATACTGACCTAATGATCTCCGTAGCTCTCCCACCTCGATCTGCTTCAAGATGCAGTTCTCCGTCATCCTACTCGCCCTCGCAACCTACACTTCCCCCCCTGAGCCCGTCGGTTCCTCCCTCTCCGATTTCAAGGACCGCGTCTTCAAGAACTCCCCCGCATCTGCTGCTTTTTTGGTCATGGCAGTCATCCAATTTAAGTTGTTTCAGCGCGTGCTTCGCTTCGAACGTATCAAAGCTATCAAGAGTAAATACGGCTACACGGAGGACTCGGCTACATGGAAAGACATGACGATCGACCAAGCCCAGGAGATCGAGAGAAACATTGCCGAGTGGGAGTTCCCAAGACTGTTCCAGTTCGCCTGGGTGTCCGGATTGTTACGTGCTTTGACGAATCCTGGTGTTTCTCGTGCACTTATAAAATCGGGATATATGGTCAACCTTGATCAGATGTAAGTACTATTGCTTAGAATATCTTCGGATATCTTGTCCTTACCTTGTGAAACAACTGTTGATTCTCTGTCATCTAGGATAGAACATAATCGCTTGCAGACAACCATCTATATGATGTCCGGTATGATGGCTTATAGAATTGGCTCTCGGAATCATAGCCTGATCATCTCCCGTATCAACGAGCATCACCATCGCTACGGAAAATGGATAAACAGCGACGATGTCCTATATCTCATCATCCACTTCGCTATGGCACCCGTCTCATGGATCAATAAGTTCGGATACCGTTCGCTCGAAGGATTCGAGGTCGATGCTCTGTAAGTATCTACCTACCTTACTCGACTAGCTCTTCGAAGGCTAACAATCTCAAGGCGGATTCTCTGGCGTGAGCTCGGTTGCCGTATGGGTGTCAAGTGCATCCCAGAGACCCTCGACCAGGCTAAGGAGTGGCGCACAGTAAGTTGTCTCTGATCAACTCAAAAGGTCGCTAACCATTGCAGAAATTTGAGGAGACATCCCGTTGGCGTGCGGATACAAACCAGACAGCTGGAATGGCCTTGATGAACCAGATCATGTGGAGCGTTCCATCCATGCTCAAACCCTTGACCAGAAAGATCCTCGTCTCAATCCTTGATTGGGATGTCGGTAGGTGCTGGATGCCACACACTTCCTGACTCTTCAACAATGTTTCCGCTCTGCCGGTATAGGTCCTAACTTCTGAACAGTCCATTTTTGCCAATTTGAAAAGCTGGGCCGATCTTTGACTCTCCGAAGCACCGCTTTTTCTTTCTTCCGTCTCTGCGGCTTCTGCATTCGCGAATTCGGTGCGCCACGCTACGGTCCTTACAAGCGAGTTCCTGACGGACCCAACAAGAATGTAAGGCTACCTCCTCCTCCTCTATTGAAGCTCCACGCTAACGTCTCTCAAGGGTCTTATCAACTTTGGCCACACCCCCTACGATACGCTACCCTTCTTCCAAGAGCGAAGCCTGTGGAACCTTTATGGATATGGAGCCCTCCTTAGACGTGCTTTTGATATCCCGCTGCCTAGCCCTAGGTTCTACTCTGGTGGCATAGCCATTGAGTCCATGGGCGCACCCCAGGACTCGGCCGAAACCCAAGCCATGGTCGATGAGAAAGTCCGCGAGAACGCCGCCGTCCTCGAACAGGCTCCCTACGGATACCGCCCTGCAATCGGGTACCAAGCCGGTCGACTTCTCCGCCCAGTCGACGGTCCCTCATACGGTCTGGATATGAACACTTTCCCTGAATTGACTATCTTGATCCCCGCTTCGACTGAACGCTTCGAGAATAAATTCCAGCGCCGAGCCCTGGGTTTCCTCGAAGATTAATACCATCGACAGGCTAGAAGATGTCGTTGCCTTTGACGATGGCGAGATCGCTGCCCCTGAGGTCGAAGATATCCACGATTCTTCCAGCATGGTCCTAGTTTCTGCTTGATCTCGGTTTCATTTCTGAGCTCCTCTGTATTTTGAGCGTCAGTCGGATTTGCCGTCATGGCGGTTGCACAATGATGATAGCGTTTTTTTTTTATGCGATTTAGTGGCTCTCTCTGGCATACTCTTCGTCTGTCTGCTGCTACCGTAAGTATCACGAAAACGAAGGAAAATACAAACATGACCAATGGCCCAAGTCCAGATTAGATTTCTGCAAATGCTCGTGATCTGTGAAGAGAAGTTGGTCAGCAGCCATGAATGGATGCATAATTGATGCAGGCCAGCTTGTCACCCTTTTCTGCTCTCCCTCTCCGATCCCCGCTGGGACTAGCGCATCGCTGCCCTTACAGTGACCCTTACAGTGAAGTAAAGTACTTACCTAAGTACCTGTAGCCAACAACATCAGACCAAATCAGGCAGCTCGTCCATCTCGTATTCAGAGGATCTTGGTCCCGCCAGTGACGGATCATCGACGTCTTCAAACCTGGAAGTTAGAAGAAAGCGGAGACAAATTCGCGCATCCTTCGGATCAAGGGTAACTTACGTACCTAGTACCTACATCTGCCAATGCATGAAGGCAAGCTGGTACGGCAATTGATCGCCTGTGCCGGTGAGGAAGAGCGGCCCAGGCGATTATGTGTATATATATATATATATATATGTATATATTATATATATATACACATGCATATCCATCCCCGCAATCAACCAGCTTCCTCGGCATCTTCTTCAGGAGAATGATCAATGATCAACGGATGAGGGCTTTGGGCTTTTGGTCTTTGGTTTGTTTGCTTTGAAACCGAGACTGGCACTGGGACTTGGACTTAGACCCGGGATGATTCAAGGGTCACGGGACCTGGAAATTCCTGGAACTGGTTGGTTTGACTTGAGGCCAAGAAGTCAAGTAAATAGTGAAAGTTCCAGCGAGTACCCGAGCTCTTGATCGGCGTGAGGGTCACAGGTGGGAGTTTTCTGGGACTTGAAAGTGGCGTGTTTTTATCTCCAGGTGAATATAAGACCGCGGGTCTCCCTCCCTCCTCCTTTCTTTGCCCGTCATCTCCCTCTTCCATCCAAAACAAACACAGGTGACAAGTACAGCTTCCTCACTTTCCAGTTCTACTTTCAACGCAAGCACAAACGACAAGCAGATACAACAAGACAATCATAATGGCAATGGCACCAACTATTCCAACTGAGCAATGGGCCCAAGTGGTCGAGGCCACTGGAAAGCGTAAGTGGACCAACCTTACTACCTAGGCTTCACATATAATTTCATCATATCAAGAGCTCCAACTCCAATAGCAATAGCTGACTCTTCCCAGCCGTCGTCTACAAGCGGATCCCCGTTCAGAAGCCAGGTCCAGATGAGGTTCTCATCAACATCAAGTACTCGGGTGTATGCCACACTGACCTTCACGCCGTGAACGGTGACTGGCCTCTCGCGGTCAAGCTTCCGCTGGTCGGCGGTCACGAAGGTGCTGGCATCGTCGTTGCCCTGGGAAGCCAGGTCCACGATGTCAAGATCGGTGACTACGCTGGTGTGAAGGTATGACCTGGTTTCCCTCTCACATTTTTGAGCATGCTGACAGACTCCAAGTGGGTCAACGGATCTTGCCTCGCGTGTGACTTCTGCCAAAGATCCGATGAGCCGCTCTGCGCAGAAGTTCTCCTCTCCGGCTACACAGTCGACGGCACCTTCCAGGAGTACTGCATCGCCAAGGCTGCTCACATTGCCCGCATCCCCAAGGAGTGTGACCTCGAGGCCATCGCCCCCGTTCTCTGTGCCGGCATCACCGTCTACAAGGGACTGAAGGAGTCCCAAGCCCGACCCGGACAGACCGTAGCCATCGTCGGCGCTGGTGGTGGCCTGGGATCGCTGGCCTGCCAGTATGCCAAAGCCATGGGTCTCCGCATCATTGCCATCGACGGCGGTAAGGAGAAGAAAGAGATGACCGCCAGCCTGGGTGCCGACGCCTTCGTCGACTTCCAGACCAGCAAGGACTTGGTGGCCGACGTCAAGGCTGCCACTGCCGATGGCCTTGGACCCCACGCCGTCATCTTGGTCGCCGTCAGCGAAAAGCCCTTCCAACAAGCTGCCGAGGTCTTGCTTCCTTCCTTCCTTCCTTCCTTCCTTCCTTCCTCCCTCCCTTCCCTCCTCACCTCCTCACCTCCTTCTTTCCTTCCTCTCTTGCAGCCGATGAACCATTTTGCTGATGAACTAAAAAAATAGTACGTCCGCCCACGTGGTACTGTTGTGGCCATCGGCCTCCCCGCCGGCGCTTACCTCCGAGCACCCGTATTCGAGTCCGTGGTCAAGATGATCACCATCAAGGGCTCGTACGTGGGAAACAGAGCCGACTCCGCCGAGGCCATTGAGTTCTTCAGACGTGGCTTGATCAAGGCGCCCTACAATTCTATCGGCATGAGCCAGCTCCAGAAGGTTTACGACATGATGTACGCACCCACCCTTTCTCCCCCCTTCCCCCGGCAAGAGAAAGCAGAAAAAGTCACAAACAACTAACTCCACATTCCCAGGCGCGAAGGCAAGATCGCCGGACGATACGTCGTCGACACCTCCAAGTAAAGGACCTCCAAGTAAAGGCGAGATATTCCCGGGTGGATGGATGGATGGATGGATGTAACAAAAGATGATACCGATCTCCCCCCTCCCCTCAACAAAAAAAAAAAANAAAAAAAAAAGAAAAGAGACCT